GCAGAGCATGTTTCGGACCCTACGAGTCGATTGTCATTCGGATTCGAGAGTTGAAACAAAACCATGATGCATGATAATTTCCCAAAAATGAATCGAACAGTTTCTCAACAGAATACCAGCCTATTTAAAGAAGGAGAAGAAGAGAAAGTTTGGGATTCAGAGGCAGATGTTTCCTTAGCAGACTTCAACCGGACACTTGTCTAAGAGGATCGGGGAACAATTTGGATAATTTGTGGGGACCAGCAAATGCAAGGGCTGAATTGGTGACTGCGTAGCAACAAACAGATATAATGCCAAGAAAATCATAATACTTCAGGTTAAGACATCAGTTTCTTTCCATGAGCTAAAAACTAACCATTTGTGATGACATGTACTGTGATTTCAAATTTGAACTGAGAGCCACAGCACCGAAAGAGCACTTGACAATGGTTCCTTCACCCCCTTCAACGGTTGCAGCTGTTGCACCTGGATCAACATCTTCATCACTGATATCAACCACTGTGTCTATAAGTCTCTGGTTTATTTCCCTTATTTCTTCCAAAAGGGCATGACTAGCCTGCAATAGCTTCCATGTCATCTTTTATATCTAATCATATGAAGTAAATTGTGGCTATCTCAGACAACACTAAGTTATGTATAAAATTTATCTTGCCAGCATAAGATAGACTCTCTTATCGCTAAGAAGTTGAAACGTGAAAACCATAATGTCGAGTTCTCATTTACACAGAGTGATTAAACATCAGAAATTAGAATGGCAGTCGGAAAATTTTATCTGCCTGCATTCAGTGCACCGTTGAACAACATAACAATAGAATTTCGAAAAAACATTCAGAATAAATTTCCAATCACATCAGGCACTATATAAAGCTACAAGGTCAAAATGGACCGTGAAATTTAACCAATGACTTCCAAGTGTCTATAACTAATATTTTCATTACAGGTTTCTTGACTACATGCTGAAGCTTCTTATCAATGCTTGATAGTCTATGCTTACCGAGGACTATATGCACTCCAAGAAGAAAGAAAACTAAGAACCATATGATTCAGAACAATAATGATGCAAGAGCTGAAAGGGTCCACAATTTTTTCTTCACCAATGTTCATGTCACCTTTACTATTTACCTAGTCACAAGCTTAAATGTATGTAACTATTAACTAAGTAGAGACAACTATGAGTTATGCTAAAACTTTTGTTAAAGCCATTTTATAGCTTCCTTGGGAAATCTCCAATTCTCCATAAACTTCATGATCTATGTTCAACTTGAACAAACTCATTCCTTAGATAACAAAATATAGACAAAGTTAGAGGTTTAGGTGTTTAAAAAGAAACGAGACCATACATAATCCAAAAGGTTCCAAACTGGATTGATGAACATTAAATTTGGCATTAGAAGCAGTGCAATGAATAGAAATTCAACCATTTACATGAAGTGCTGGAAGAGGCTTCCTAAAAAACATAGCAAAAATGCATTTTTGAAAACATGCACCATGAGCAAAGAGTAATACCTCAATTCTTGGCCGCTTGACACTAGATGTTGCAGTTGACTCCAAAGTCAGATGTCTCTGAACCAGTTAGTTTGAAACTATCATTCAAACTACCTGCAGATGATACAACATTTAGGGGGCATGGCACTAGTGTGACGCCTAATTTTCTTTGTCCCGCTCTTTCCATCTTGACTGATGAAACTTCTTGCTTGCAGATGACACTTTGTCATAGCAACCAGATCCTCACCCACTGCAGCTCTTGACCCATTACCTGGGGCTGAGCCTGCTATTCTGTCAGTCCTGCTGACAACTGAATGTCACTTACAGATGCCCGCAATGCTATAGATGAAATGGATTTCACCTGTAATTAAAGCAAATTAAAAATCAAATTAATCCAATATCTTTTTGAGAGGAGAGAAGGTAAAAGAACTTCTACAGCTTTAACCACAAAAGAAAGGGAAAGAAGTGTCAAGATAGAGCTTCACTAACTGCTTTCGTTAAATGATCAAGTGGTTGCTCGGTAATGTTCGACTTGCTGGAAACAGTTGTCAAAGCATTAGGATGAGTTCCATCACCACCAGTGAACTCAGCAAGCAGAGGTGAGGCTGATATCCCTGAGTGCCAATTGCAAGGGATTGGGAGCCTGCTTGAACACCAGTTCCTTGTTGATTTCCAATAGTAGCAACATTTGGGAGAGAAGTTCCCTGAACAGGTTTTTCAGATTCCCCAGGCATAGGTGATGGAGCCAACGGAGTTGAAGGTGAAGGAACAACAAAAGGTGAATTTGCAGATTGCAAGGGAGTTCCATCTTTTAGCAGGTTTTGCTGATCAACCTGTGGGGAAGAATGCTGAGGCATCTGAGGAGATACAGCCTGAAGTAGCTGAGGTGAAGAAACAGGAAATTGAGTTCCTGGTTTCAACTGTTGATGGTTATAAGATTGACACTGGCTTGCCGGAAGATGTTGGAATACCCCTGGCTTAGCACCCATCCCCTGCCTCATATCATTCGCAACATTCATCTGATGCAGCTGGGGCATATGGTGTGTCTTCAATTGAGTGGACAGCTGTTTGTCACGAAATTGGGCCCCGTGACATGTTGCTTTGCTTTCTGCTGTGGCAGCTGCAGCTGCTGCTGCCGCTGTTGTTGCCGTAGCTGCTGCTTCTGTTGAATATACTGGTTTTGTAGTTGGCGATGTTGAAACTGTTGCTTGTACTTTTGTGACTGCATCATTTGCTGTTCTTGATGTTGTTTCATATGCTGGTGCTGAAGATGATTAATGTTCTGCGGCAGGCCACATACCCCCCTTTGTGATGACAAGCTATTAAATTTGTCTGCTGGGAGGTACTCACAGGATTTTATTGCAAGGGTCCTGGTGCAACCGGCTGCATCGAGCCAAGGGCATTACCTTTTCCTGAATCCATATTAGAACTTGGTTGTAATGAATTTAACTTGGTCTGCTGTGTTGTCGAAACCCCAGTCGACAAAGAATTATTCTGAATGCTTGTCATGTTGGTAGGTTGCATTGCCAGCACAAAACCTTGTAATTTTTTCTATAAGAATTGGACGCCTAGTTAAAACCCCTTCATAATCATCAACATACTAAATCATATATCAATGAAAATTAAAAGGAGAAAAAGTGTACCTCATGATTTATTAAATAATCAAACCGAAAGAACACACCATCACCAAAAAACTAAAATAACCGAAAGGAGCACCCAACTACATTAATGTGAAAAAACACAACCGACTCCAAGAGGCAAACTATCTACATATTTAGAGAAGAAAAACAATCTAATCAATTAAATTCATCACAATCAGGTTCCAATATGGATTCAACACAAGGTAATGCCCTTGACTCGATGCACCCGTTCCTTTCGATTACAGAAAGTAATTTTTAATCATAGAGTTTTGCTTTCCAAAAAGATGATCGGTGGCTTTTTTTTTTCCTTGGCAGATAATCGGAATAACAGACTATTAGCAAGTGACAAAAAAAATGATGGAAATCACGCGACGCTTATTTGTTTGGTTGGAAGAGACAGAATAAAACAAGGGAAGAAGAAGAGAGAGCGGAGAGAGGTCATATGTTATAGGGTAAACTATTCATTTAACGCCTCAACTATCAGTTTTGGTCTGTTTTTAGTATTTACGTTTTTAATTTTTTCAAAATCATATCAAATATTTAGATTTTATTTCATTTTAATACCCCGCTGTTAAAACTTAATGCGTTTAGTACCTAAACTATTAATTTGGTCCGTTTTAATATTTAAATTTCATTTTTTTTTTCAAAATTTAACGTTAAATTTTGAAATGAGATACTAAAATAAAATCAAAATTAAATTTTAGATATGATTTTAAAAAAAATTAAAAATTTAGATGCTAAAATATATCAAAACTCATAATTAGATTCTAAACGCATAACTTACCTTATGTTACATATAGACTGACGTGGAGACTTCGACGGTAAGTCTTGAAAATCAAATTTCTTTTAAAAGGGTTAATATACAAAAATACTTCTATTTTGGTAGTTTCTTTTCGTTCATTGTTCTTTTATTTTGATAACTGTTATTATTTTTTTCAAAATTATACATATTTAAGTTATATTTTGATTACACTATTAAAAAATTAACATAATAATAATGTATCATCGTAAAATAAAATCATGCTATTATTGAAAAAATTATATATATATATATATAACACAATTCTTTATTTTTTTAATGACAAATAATCAAGACGAAGTAAAACATAAGGCTAAATATTATTTCTTTTTCCGTTTCTATTCCTTGTTTTTTAATCTGAATTAACTATTCTCTTGATTTGTTTATATCGGTCACAAAAATCCAGGTCCAAATTCTCTTGAAAACACTCTTTCTTCTTCTTCTTAATTTTATCCTTATTTTTGTTATATTTCTTTTACTTTTTTAATCTTCTGATTTCCAAGCCTACTTGTTTGCTCCTAAGATTCCAAATCCATGTTCCATGTTTAGTTCATGGCCATCCAAATCACAGAAGAATAGGAATGGAACACAGACCATTGATATCATTCGGTGAATAATCATGCTTCATGCAGCATGAAATGGTAACCCTCCGAGCCTGATCATCAAGTGTTACCTTAACAGCTACCACGTTGATTTTCGAGTACCCATTCTTCGGATGGATGCACGCAACCGGCACCCGTCTTCTTTGTCTTCCTCGCCGAACCTATTGAACCTGCGTGGAGCTCCAAATTTACTGGTGTTTCTTAGACAAACTCACAAATAATAGGTGTGTGTTAAAATTAGGAACTGATATGCACCAGCTTGCGAGGTGTCAATGAGCTTTGTGCATGTATTAAATATTTGAACCTAAATATTGCAATCACACACCTTTATGAATAGGTATTCTTGCCCCATTTCTCCATATTGCAAAGGAAGTTTACACATTTCTAGTATAGTTTACATATAGACAAATGCAAGCAACTGCGTTAGCATTCGTTACCTCTGCAACGACACAACTTCTACTGCGGTTGAAATCCCTATTCTTCAGCATCAGGGTCTTCATGGGTTGTTTCAGCTTGCACCGTATCGGTCCCTTTGGTTGTTTCGGCTTGCACCATATCGGTCCCTTTGGTATACTTTCGATCTCGCCGTTCTTTACCATAAAATACCCAAGATATCAAACAGAACATCACCGAGATCGTGGCGAGGAGCAAGCCGATATAAACCTCTTGACTGTGTTTCCTTAGCCCCGGACAGTAATGCTGGTGCATGTAATTGAGAATTTCCCAAATTGTGGAGCAGTCTACTAGGCTAGCAAGGAAAGGAACGTAACAGGACAACACGTAGCTTATGCTAGCAGCTGAACTCATTTGCTTGTACAAGTCCGGGGTCAGGCGCCCTTGTGTGCTGCAAATTCCGGACGACGATAAATGGCATACGAATTTTCTCCATTCCTAACATCGAACATTAAAAAATCAACTGGAAAGACCGAGAGTCGAAAACCGCAATAGATAAAGAATCGGATTGTACCTGTGTTGCATTGCCCACGGCTACTTGACCCTCCCCACAAGTTTTTTTATTGTTTTCTGCCTTGTGCGGGTCACAAACGGTGGGCAATGAGGGACCGGATTGATTGTAGTAAAGACCTACTACTTGTGGAGGTATGTCATTGTTATTGGCTACAAGGGAAACATCAAGGTTCAGCAGATCGTTAATCCCGTTGCTAACCGCTTTGCTCGCATCCTTGATGTTTTTTCCGAATTCCCGATCCACGCAAGGAAGAAGTTCCTTGATAGCAGAACCGGCTGTGGGGTTTTGAACCCATTCGTCCACCGCGGTGCATGTATCTGCCATTAAGCTGAAATGTTTTCGTGAAAATATGGTCAGATATGGAACTTGATATGTTTCAAGTTTACCAATGGACATATGATTTGTTTAAACTTACTTGTGGAACGCAAGAAATGCACCGCACAAGATAAACACGAGCGTCGTGATAATCCACCCGATGATCATGAATCTGCAACCGTTGATCGTTAGTTTTGATGATGATTATGATGGACAAGAAGATGATAATCATGCACGCTCTCAAGTTACTTACATATACACCCATGTTTTCCAGCCAATAGCCAAAAATACTGCAATCCATTTAAAAAAACAATGAAACACTTTGGAACAATAATTGATAATCAACCAGTTTATAGGGGAACCAAAAGGCTTACAGAATCCAAGAACTGCTACTAGAAGCATGGTAGTACTGATAGAGATCAGAGTTGTGTTCCTGGAATAAACATCAACGCATAGATGAAGTCTGCGTTATGATACATGAATATCGATGTGTGGAAAAACATTTATTTGACATACACATGCTTGAGAATTTCGGACAAGGAATCTGCCATGCTTATCGTTGTAAGATGAGGGAGGTCTTTACTTGCATCCAATTTAGAGGTGACCTCGTCGATCTGGTTTATGATTTCGGGTGGTAGGAATTTGTTGTTCAAAGAAACTTTCCTGGCCGACTGAAGATAACTGACGACAATTATAAGACCATTCGAGATCTTTTCTCCTTGATGCACTACATATCCAGCGGTCTCGTGTATGGCTCCCAAGAATCCTTTCTCTCCTAAGAACATTACACTGCATCCGGCACTGCAAAATGAATGCATTCAAGTAGTTAACTCTGTAATCGGAACATAGAACCGTAAGCTTAGAAAACAATACTTATGAGGAAACTCAAACTTACATTGCTGAAATTGTGAAAAGTATGAGAAAGACGAGACAGAGCACGTAAGCAGGCGGCGAATAACAATAGGGGTTGATGTATTTTTTGCAGCAGCAACAAGCACATAACATCAACAGGCCGAACAGCACGAACCAGATGGAAGCGATGACCAAGAAAGGGAAAGAACTAAAAGCAACAGACTGCATACAGAGAACTTGGAGAACAAGTTACCATGTTGATGAACAAACCATAATATAATTTGATTAAACAGCAGAGTTATGGAATCTTACAGCATAGTAATGTTGATTAGTAATATTCCATCCACCTTTATAGTAATTCATATGGTCTAGAGGGTCCCTCCTGCGTGTTTGTTTATCGGCTAATACTATACTAGTTCCATTTCCATTTCCTGATCTAGCTCCTGCTAGTTTTTCCTTTATCGAGTCCTCCATTCCTGTAAACATGAAGATTTATCGAAATTTTTTTGAAACCAAGGCTGGAAATGAGATGAAAAAAGAATCTCAAATTTCATCGTGGTCATTCAAATCCTAACATTCGCAACCATTTCGCTATATATGAGAAGAAGAGAGGAAAACTAGAAGCAGCATAGAACAATCATACCTGGAAAATCACCCCTGAATGGCACTTGCAAATTACCATCCTTCCATGGCCCTGGCAATTTACCCTCAATGTCCGGCACCGGCATATGACCATCCTTTCCCGGCATCGGCATTGGTAAGTTACCATCCTTTGCCGGCACCAGCATCAGTAAGTTATCATCCTTGCCTGGCATTGGCATTTTACCATCCATGCCTAGCTTTGGCATGTTACCATCCACAGGCACAGGCAAATTGCCAACATTCTGCCCGTGAGAAAATGAAAACAAGGCTGATAAAACGTGGAACAAAGCTGGAATAAGAAGAAACGGGTTCAATTTTACACGCGTCCCCATCGTTCTTCTTGGATTGTTCTTGTCTGTGTTTGATTACCCCTTGGTGGAATCAACCAAGGGATGAATGACTTTTTCATTTACTTGAAATTGCAGATTAAAATCTCGTTTTCTGGTGCATTTGTTTTCCAAGAACACATTATTTTTCTGCTAATTTTGGTATTTAAATTGTTATTTGTTACGTGTAATACCTCTTCTAACATCTTATCAATAGACTCTATATTGACTAATCCCCTTAATTTGAGGAGGATTGCTAATTTATACACATTTCTATTATGTTGTTTGAATCTAGGGAGAGAAAACTTGTGTTATGATCTTAATTGTTGTTATCTGGTTAGGACAACCACATCAGATTATCCAATTATAAACATATGACCTTCAAGCATTCTAGAAAATAGTTTATAAATAAATCCACTTAAAGACTTGGAAATCTGAATAATAGATCATCTATCATACAATACAATTATATAATCGGAAAATTTATATGTTGCTATTAAATTTGAAAAGCTTTATCAACAAGACAAATCAAATTCTCCATTTAGTGCGGATGCCAATTTTAAATAGAAGAGTTTGTAAAATAATAACAATTGGGAAGGAATTAAAACAAATCAAAATAATTACTTCTCATTTTTTTGGAAAAATTGAGAATTAACTTTTTTTTTTAATAATTTACGATGATTATAAGATAATATACGTTTCTCATTTTCTTTGAATAATTACATGCTCTTGTACAAGTGCGTCACATTCGCAAACCGTCGACTTTGCCGCCCACATCCTTGCCGACTGGGCTGCTGTTTCTAGATCGATATTTCATTTTGCATATGATTGTCCTCTTTGTATTACCGACGTTGTTCCAGAACCATCTTCGTAGAAAACATTTCGCTTCATTCCTGTTCTTAGAGCTTAAGACAAAATCAGGCAGGCACCATCGTCAGATGCACTTTTGCTCGAGCTCAACGGTTTTCAATCTTAGCAAAACATTGTCACAGGCTCCCAATCAACCTTAGAAAGGAGAACATAAATGTAATTCTATACGAGTACCCCACGTTACTGCCAGTGATGTGTTACGCTACAGCCAACGTTATCCAGAAAGGAAAACTTGGTTACTTACTTCCCTCCCCACTGAGCATAACCCTGACTCGCACACCCGGTTCCTTTCATCAGAGAGCAGAACTTCAGTAGTGACCTCATTTTTTAGATAACGTACAAGCTTTGCAGCTGTTAAGCACGAGGTTCCCCTTGCACCAGCTTTGTTTCCAATTCTTACCTTGGCTTAGATGAAAGCCCTTTTGCTAACATTTCCTCTTGGTACTTCCGAGCCATATCTAACATCCCCTTTTGAATCAAAGCATCAATCAGAGCATTGTAAACAAACTCATTTGGGCTACTTCCTAGTTCTTCCATCTTCTTCCAAACCGTAATAAGTCAAAGAAATCCCCATCTCCCAAACTTCCTCATAAGCATCACATATGTGTCCATCCTCTGTTGAACCCCATTCACAACCATCAAATCAAACAGCTTAAGAATCTCTCTAGGCGTATGTAATCACATCAGGCGTGATATCGTTCTTCAGCATTTGGTTAAGCACGGAATAAGCTTGCCTCACCCTCCCATTCTCAAGCAGAAGCTTTATGACCGTATTATAAGTAACAACATTCGGCTGACAGCCAAAATCCCTCATCTCCCTAAATACCCCAACACCAAAATCTACACCGTCCGAAACACCGATAGCACGGATAACCGTATTATATGCCACCACATCCAACTTCTTCTCCTTCTTCTTCATCTCCTTATACAACTTCACTGCCTTCCACGGCTTCCCACTCTTGCACATTATATCCATATAGATAGAATAAGAATGCAAATCCTTTTTAACACCCTTTTTATCCATTTCTTCCCAAAATTCCATACATTTACTCCACCAACCCAGTTTAAACCACCCACGAAGAATCATATTATGAATCTTAGTATCATTCACACTAAACCCTAATTCCTTACTTTTACCAAAAAATCACAAATCATGTGCCTCCACAACATGCTTATACGAGCAGAGTGAGTCAACAAAGGTTACAGAATGAAATTTCATCTTTCAAATTGAATTCATCCAATCTATCAAAAGTGGCAACAGCTTCATTAACAAGATGGGCGGTCTCGTAACGCTTAAACATGATGCGAAACGTGGTATGATCGGGTGTCGAACGAGGGTTGTTTTTCATTCTACGAATCAAATCCCATGAAAGATTGAACTCGAAATACTTACCCAAAATGTCCAACATCTTGTTGAAGGTGTCGGTGGTGTGGGTGAAGTGGCAATCCGTTTCGACCCAGTTGAAGAACTCGAACGCGCGTTTCCAGTCGTTGGAGTAGCCAGAGAGTGTTTCGCGGACGGTTTCGTGGTCAACATTTGGTGACTGAGAGTCGAAATGGGGAGTGGCATTCGGGGATATAGAGTGAGAAGAAAGGAGTCGATGAATTGGCGAAAGCAGAGAAGGGGATGCGGCGTCTTGCGGTGATTAAAGAAACCATTTTTACACCTCATTGAAACAAACGCACAAATGCTAATTATTTCAAGGGAATGCGTTAAGGGTTAATTCCAACAAAAGTCCCCCAAACTATCACCAATATTTTGGATTGGTTTACCATAGGATCAAATGCTCAAACTATAATTATCATAGAGAAAGACATTATCTTCCTTCTCAAGCTTCTTAGTCCCAATAAAGGAGCACCGTTCTTTTTACTAGAAAAACTGCTCAATAATAAGTGAAAATGAAATTGTGCAGTTTGATACAATTGTGACCAATAACATATTTGGTGATATCTTGTCTGATGAAGCTTCAATGATCACTGGAAGCATAGGGTTGCTTCCATCTGCTAGTCTTGGCGAATCAGTATGACAATTCATTAATCTCTTTGCAAATCGGTTAGAGAACAGTGTTTTTTATATCCTTTCTCTTTGACTATATTGGTATTTTCATTTGGCACAGGGACCTGGACTCTTTGAGCCTATTCACGGTTCTGCCCCCGATATCGCTGGACAGGTTAGATTAACCTTTTTTGTTATGTGGTCAGAGCTAAAGTTTAATAATCATTTCCCATCAAACCCAAGATGTTGAATCTTGATTATAATGTGAAATATGTTTTGGCAGGACACGGCAAACCCACTTGCAACAATTCTCAGTGCTGCAATGCTTCTGAGGTATGGCCTTGGTGAAGCGAATGCTGCAAAGAGAATTGAGAATGCTGTTCTGGATACTCTTAATAAGGGGTTCCGTACAGGCGACATATATTTCCCCGGAAATGTATAGGCTTCTTCTCCCAAAACACCTTTCTTTTTTTTGCTGTCTTTTTTCTTTGTTTTTTAAAAGGCAAAATATACATTTCTTTTCTTCTATTTTGACAGAAAGATATTAGTTATCTCAATTCTATAGTGAATATTTGTGGCGTTGAAAGGACTTTAATGACAATGGTAAATCAAAATGTCTGAGATAGTTGCAATGGCCTCTGTTCCCATGTGTTCTTTTCCCATAGGCACTGCTAAGAAATTTTGAACCCAACCGACCTCGGTTACTTCCGGTTGTTTGGAGAAAAGTTGCAAAGTTTATATAGAGGTTCTTCAGGTAAAATTCAGCAAAGAGGTCTTTGTCGTTATAAGGACCTGTTCCTGCTCACCGGTAGCATTCGAGGCAGCACCTTCCGCCTGTTGAATCAATGCTGTACCTTCTGCAGTAACATGCTGCTTGAATATCTCGGCAACAGGTTCCAAGCCTCGAGGTAGTTTAGAATAAAGCCTGTACACCCTAGAAAGATCCTCCACGTTGTCATCTCTGAGCAATGCCCGGCATCCCGAATGCTCCTTTTCGAGTAGCCGATCGGCATGTGTAACCAACAGCTCATGCTGCACTTTCTCTATCTGTTTCACCTCGCTGCTCGAATGCAGGTAATGAGACACTCAGTCCCTTTCCTTCTTCAAGCATTCTTCACACTTCAACATGTACGCAGGACAGTCATCTTCCTCGATCCACCTCGACGCCTTCCGTGAATAGTAAGCACCAGTATCTTGAAGCATACCTACTTCAAAATCATCTTCATAACAATCCATACGTCCCGTGCCAATCGCAACGAAAATGTCCAACACATTCTTCAACAGTGCACGGTCGATCCGAACGCCCTTCCGTTCTTCATCAATAAGGCCAACCACAGCATCTTTGACATCGGCATGCACTTCCCGATACACCAGATCACCGAAGCAGGTCCGACCGACTTCACTAAGCACAGGGAGTGATCTCCAAGTAACATTGTAACGATCAAGGTAACTGAAGAACCGCGAGAGCCACCGACCATGACTGCATGGTTACCCCATCTTCGAACAAATTCCCTCAGCAAGAACTCGTCACGCTTATCTCGTAAAGAAGACAATACCGTTGACGTAATATACTCTTCAAGCGTCTCTCGGTACTTGTCGTTGACCTGCTGAGCGCAACCGTGGGGTGGCTTTCGGGTGCACATGTTGTATACATTGACATTGGTGTAAAGCACCATTTATTCTTTCGCGGTGAACGGAAACTTCGGTAGGCCTTCCAGTATCCTCTTTAGCTTGTCGATCCCGTTGTGCATATGAACCCATCCTTGATGAAATTCAACAGTCTTGCCCTCCATTGTGGTAAAAAGAGGTGATGGTATGGGTTTAAATAGATGGGATTTGTTTTAGTATTTTATAACGAAAAGAAGCAAGGTTAGACGAGGATTTCTCCTAAGTTTCGATTTCGTTCCTTGTTAAGAAAATTTTCATTAATAAGGTCAAGGGTAAATTACGCTTTAGTACCTAAACTATCAGTTTTGATATGTTTTAATATCTGAACTTTCAATTTTTTTCTTCAAAATCGTACTTTCTATTTTAGTACATCGTTCAAAGTTTAACATTAAGTTCTAGGAAAAAAAATGAAAGTTTATGTATTAAAATAGACCAAAATAAATAGTTTAGGTATTAAAAGCGTTAAGTTTTTAACGGCGGGATACTACAATGAAATGAAAACTAAACGTTAAGAATAATTTTTATAAAAAGTAAAAGTTCAGGTACTAAAAAGATTAAAACTGATATTTTAAGTATTAAATGCATAGTTTACCCTAACGTCAAAGACACCAAATTTAGGCATATTACAATGAAATGAAAACTAAACATTAGTTTAAGTACTAAATGAAAACTAATAGTTTAGGTACTAAAAAGATCAAAACAAATAGTTTAGGTACTAAACGTGTTAAGTTTTTAATAGCGGGATATTACAATGAAATGAAAACTAAACATTAGGCATAATTTTGAAAAAAGTAAAAATTTAGGTACTAAAAAAGACTAAAACTGATAGTTTAAGTACTAAATGCATAATTTACCCTAACGTCAAAGACACCAAATTTTTAATATATACATTTAAGTCACTATTTTGTTTTTGCAATTCGACATTTGATAGGGGTCGAACTTTGGACTTTGACATTTATATCCAACACCTAACTATTACACTAAGGTAAAATTTTGACATGAAATATAATATTTAGGTTAAATATAATTGAAATTAATTTTATTATTTTATAAAAATATATTAATTATAATAATTATAAAATAATATAAAAATATTTTTAGCATCAAATAAAATATATTAGTATTGTTTATTTATGTTATAAAATTAAAAGATTAATGAATAAAAAGAATAAAAATAACAATGTATTAATGAAAATGTAAATCATAGAGTTAATTAAAAAAATACTTATTTATTGTAATTTTAAATATTTTTTATTTTTAATAAATTTATCAAAAATAAAAATAAAAACCTAAAAAATAATGTCGACTAACATATTCATACCCAAATTGCCCGTCTTCTTCAAAACTTGGCCGATTGTCAAGTTTCTTTCCTCCCTTTTCAGATCTGACTGTGTCCCTCTGTTACTCCCTTCTCCAATTGAGGCTCAAAGCATCAACTCAAGACCCGAACGACGGCGTTTTGAAACACCCAGGTCAGCTTTACCTCTCTCTCTCTCACACACACACACATTGGTTTGGCAGAGCATATTCAATTGTCATCTGTACCTTTCGTTAAACGATGAATGATATGCATAATTTACTTACTGAACAAAACTTTAATCTGGGTTTATTTTATTTTTTCCATTTTCCCTTTGTTCCCTTTTGCCCACAGTTTTGGAGCCTACTTAAATACACAATGTTTGAAGTATGATGTTTTCCCCCTTTTTTTAGATGGAAGTTGAGGAAGAAAAAGAAGCTCATCCTAGTAATGTTTGTTTGGCCGAGGAAAAATGTGATGAGCAGAGTCTAAAAGAGACAGATAGTGAACCAACTGAATTGTTTGATGTTCAAAATAGTTTACCCGATGGAAAGAAAGAGTTTCTTGCTCCAGCTGTGGGAATGGAATTTGAAACTTATGATGATGCATATAATTATTACAATTGCTATGCCAAGGAAGCCGGATTTCGTGTTAGGGTTAAGAATTCGTGGTTTAAGCGGAATAGTAGAGAGAAGTATGGGGCTGTGCTTTGTTGTAGTAGCCAGGGCTTTAAAAGAATTAAAGATGTTAACCGTCTTCGGAAAGAAACTAGAACCGGTTGCCCTGCTATGATAAGGATGAGAGTTGTTGAATCGAAACGGTGGCGAGTGCTTGAGGTTACACATGAGCATAATCACTTATTGGGTGCCAAGATTTGTAAATCTGTTAAGAAGATGGGATCCGGAACGAAAAGTAAGATGCAATCGAGTTCTGATGCTGAAGTGCGAACCATCAAGTTGTATCGAGCATTAGTGATTGATGCTGAGGGTAATGGGAATCCGAATAGCAATGCAGTGGCTGTTAGGAAGTTCTCTGATCAACCAAATCAGCTCAATCTTAGAAAGGGTGACTCGCAAGCCATCTATAATTACCTATGCCGTTTGCAGCTGACAAACCCAAACTTCTTTTACTTAATGGATTTCAATGATGAAGGGCATTTGAGGAATGTTTTCTGGGTTGATTCACGATGTAGGGCATCTTGTGGCTATTTCGGGGACATCATTTATATTGACAACACTTGCTTGTCAAATAGATATGAGACTCCCCTTGTGGCACTTCTTGGAGTTAATCATCATGGACAAACTGTGTTACTCGGTTGTGGCCTGCTTGCTGGTGAGACATCCGAATCTTATTCTTGGTTATTCAAAGCATGGCTTACTTGTGTGTCAGGACAGTGTCCTCAAACCATTATTACAGACAGGTGCAAGGCTTTGCAGAATGCAATTGGGGAGGTGTTTCCCAAATCTAATCATCGCTTAAGTTTGTCACTCATAATGAAAAGAGTTCCAGAAAAATTGGGAGGATTGCGTAATTACGATGCAATAAGAAAGACATTTGTTAAGGCAGTTTTTGAAACGCTCAAAGTAATTGAATTTGAAGCAGCATGGGGTTTTATGGTCCAGCATTTTGGTGTCGCTGACCATGAATGGCTTCGATCATTATATGAAGATCGAGCTCAGTGGGCTCCAGTTTATTTAAAGGACACATTTTTTGCTGGACTATATGCCTCGAGACCTGGCGAAAATTTAAGTCCCTTCTTTGATAAATATGTGCACAAACAAACTCCTTTGAAAGAGTTTCTTGATAAGTATGAATTAGCATTACAAAAGAAGCACAAAGAAGAAAGTCTTGCCGATATCGAGTCAAGAAACTCCAGCCCTGCTCTGAAAACAAGATGCTCCTTTGAGTTGCAACTCTCCAAGTTGTACACAAGAGAAATTTTCAAAAGGTTCCAATTAGAGGTAGAGGAGATGTATTCCTGTTTTAGCACGACACAGGTACATGTTGATGGGCCTATAATAATCTTCTTGGTCAAGGAGCGAGTCTTGGCTGAAGGAAATAAGAGAGAAATTAAGGATTATGAAGTACTGTATAACCGAACAGCTAGTGAAGTTAGATGCATTTGTAGTTGCTTTAATTTCTACGGATATCTATGCCGGCATGCATTGTGTGTGCTTAACTTCAATGGTGTGGAGGAAGTCCCTTCCAAGTACATTCTCTCACGATGGAAAAAGGATTACAAGCGCTTCTATGTTCCAGGTGAAGGTTCCAATAACGTTAATGCCTTTGATCGCGTGCAATGGTTTAATCAGTTGTATCGAAGTGCCTTGCAAGTTGTGGAAGAGGGGGCAATTTCTTTAGACCATTACAAAGTTGC